CGGGCGAACGCAAGCGCTGTGTGTTTGCGTTAGCTTTGCGCGTTCCACACTGCGCGGGAGCGGAGCCCAAAATAGATGTCTTGGATGGCGCATGGCAATGAGGCGCACGCACAACGTGGGGCACGCAACTCTACCGCAAACGCACACCGCTTGCGTTTGCTTCTATGCGCAATACTAAAACGTTCCAGTAAGGTACGATCCCCTACCGGCTGCAGCACAACGTTGGGACAGTGAAGAGTGTTGTTTGCATTCGGAAATGACATTTCGCGAGCCATGATCGCGAGCAGTTCCGCCGTGCCCGCTGTGCAGGAGAATCGGGGGACCCTCACTAGAGCGCTTCCCGTTTCCGCCGCGGGAGGGCAAGCGTCGAGATGGAGACGCGAATAGCGGCCTCGCGGCGGTTGCGGAACCATTCGCGCTGCTGCGCACGTCGCCGCTCGTTCCGTTCCCGCTCTTCTTCCTCTGAAGGTAGCAGAGTTGCGCATTCAGCCTCGGCGCGTGGCCGTAGCGCCGGCTTTCCCGCACGAGCTGGATGCTTTGCTCCTCACGTGACTAAATTTGGCGAATAGCGGCGCCGCGCGCGCCGCCGCGCACGGGAAACAGGAGAGGAGGAAAAGGAGGCGGAAAGCAGGCGAACATACGCCGGGGCAAGAGAAACGTCGGCGGAGCGACCGTAAAGGTCGCTTTCTTGTACGCCACCGGATGCTTTGCTCGTCACGTGATGGACCTCGGCGAATAGCGGCGTGGAAAACAAATGCGCAACTCTGGCTCCCGTAGGGAGCCTATACAGGAACTCTACCTCTGAAGGAATGTTGCCGCCATCTATGAGCAACGACAGCAAACAGTTGTCTGGTTGCCGAGGCTGGAAAGGTTACAGCGACGGCGGCAAGCAGACAACCGGCAAACACAACACTCTGGACAGCTACCGGCGTCTACGAGCGACGGCGGCCACCATAGTGTTGTGTCGATATTTGTTTGGTGCCGGACACGATCCTAGGGAAATTTGCCCTTAACAACTCAACCAAAAAAAAAAAAAAAAAACGGCAGTTTTTTTTTTTGTTTTGTTTTAGCAATGTACTCTTTTATTTAGAGAATTGAGATATGATGCATTTTAGATTATACATAATACATTTATGCATATATATGTGAGCTGTTACCTTATCCAGACGTATACATTTAAAACGCCAAAAGCATCGCTTCTTCCTCCGACAACCAAATCTTTGAAAACCTATACTTCGCGCAGCGTTTGAACAGTGCTCAAAACTTCCATTTTTCATGAGATGAAAATGAGTATAGAGCCCTATCGGTGTTGCTCCAGCGCGAGTTTCCTTCCTCCGACAACGGTTGGGCGTCTCCAGAGACGCTTCGGCGTGAGACGCTTCGGCGTGAGGCGCTTCGGCGTGAGACGCTTCGGCGTCTCACTCTGTCAGTGACACGCGGAGCGTAAGTTCGTCTGCTTCTTGCACAGGGGTTTGCGATGAACTCAGAACGCCCGGCTCTTATTGGCTGATTGATAAAATCATGGGTAAACCTCGAGGCATCAAGTATTGAGGTCTAATTACTATCCTTTTGTGAAAACCTATCAGAGCTCGGTGTTGTGCTGACGTCACTGCAACCTTTGCGCAAGAAGAGGACGACTTGCTCTCCCTATAGTCCACAAAATGCACCAACAAAGGCTGCGCGAACAACGTAAATCAATTATTATGACGTTTCTCCGCATTATTCCTACTTTTTTCTTTCTTTCCTTTTCACGTCTCTTTCGTAAATCAAGCGTTGCTTCGCATGCAGTTAACCTTATTCTAAATGTGCTTAATCATCAGCGAAGCAGTCCGTACGGGTGAAAGGAGGCAGCCGATTAAACTACTCGGACTCGCCATCGCCAATGCTCGTAAAGAGAATGGGCTCGGCCACAAACATTAATTAAAATCCTGTTGTTGTTGTATTTGTTGTTTGTTTGTTTTCTTAGAACAAAAATGGTGTTTTTTTTTTTTGTTTTTTTTTTTAGAGTTTTTACGCGGCTTTGATTGGCAGAACACCATATGAGGAGGGAGTGGAAATTTACAGGGTGTGGGTGCTTTAGTAAATCGTTTTGTGCGAAGACGCCCTTCGTTAACGAGATTCGAGGGTCATGGTAGCGAGCCCCACGGGCCACGACAGCCCGGATCTTCGGGTGCAAGGCCGCCATAAGCGAGAGCGTGTTCTATGTTAATTATATCCACAGAACGCGATATATGTCTGCTACAAAGAAACCACCGGTAGTGAACAGATTTCATTACTGGATCGCAAATGAAACGTATATAGCCTTGCGAAATGCTTCTAAACGAGGTCATACTCGTAATATTGAATATGTATCTGGTAGCTTGGACATCAACAGTCACCCAGCAACGATGTGGACATTTCGGATCCAAGATTGACACTGAGCTGAAAAATAAATCGTCTGCTCAGTGACTTATGTTCTGTATGTATGGAAACACTTGTAAATGCCTTGTCTTTTAGATAAAAGAGAACCGTGTTTTCTTCACCGCAAAAATAAACTAGGCATCGCCCGCCGTACGATCAGTCTCCACCGGATGTTAAAGTTTCAAAACTTGCCGTTATATACTTTAAATGGCTGTAATTTATTTGGGAACATTTTCAATTAGGAAATGGCGTTCAGCAAAGCCCGCGAATACATGGAGAATAAAGGCGAACGCTACCGAGGAAGTGCGCCCCATTTTCTAAATAAAAATTTCAAAAGCTTCATGTTTTTGTTGTTGTTTTTGTTGTTTTGTAATAAAGTAAGGGTTGGCTCTGAAGGTTTGGCATCTAGCCCAGACCGTTAACGTTACATTGGGGTAGAGGCTGAGCATATATGACGATGCGTCGTTTATTTTTTCGGTGAGAAAAACACGGTTCTCTTTTCTTCCAGACACCCTCTACTTCCTGTCCTCGTCCATTTTCAAGAACGGCCTTCGATGGTTATACAAAGAAAGTGTAGCAAAGGGCCGCTGCACCCACGCTGTTATTTGTCACAGCGCATTCCGTGAAAGTCCAGCTTGTCAAACAAGTCCCGTTTACTGTGAAGGCGAAGTTCCCTTGATCGATTGACTGAATGATGGATGGCATTTGAAGAACGCGAAGGACCAGGACCGACGACCACAGATCTCATTCATTCTTGTTTAACCAACAAAACAAAACGTAAAAAAAAAAAAGATGAATATATTGTAATGGTTTTTCAAAGACCGCAAACTGAAACAAATATTCTGCACTAAAAGAAGACGTCACGTTTTCCTCTTGGTAGCACTTTGAGGCAGTTATACATGGACGCAACCATCTAACTTCCTTCAGCTGTTTGTTTATCCTTATCGCTTCATATTGTCTTGCATATTAATTTCACGGTGTGGATGTCACCAACGTATACAGGTAGTTTCACGAAAAGTGGACAAATTCGATATTGCGAAAACTACGCGTTGCAGCAAGAAAAGGCTTGTGTCGTTTTGGTCCTGGATTAAAGTTTGGGATAATTAAATTGTCAATTATTTTTACGTAATTAATTGTTTTAGTATTGTGTTTAATGGCATGGTTTCAATTAGAAAATTGCTCAGCATCATCGAAAAGCACTAAATTAACAAATTGCAGAACGATAGAAGGGACGCGCAGCATCTTACAGGTTTCTGAAAACCGCGAAAATTCGACGGGTTTTTAGGTTTCGGTTTGCTATCGGAGCACATCTCGGCCTCGACGGCACTGCGCCCCGTGGAGAAATAGTGCAACCAGCCTCTGCCGCGTTGCGCGAGGATAGCGCAGCAGAGGTTGGTTGCACTATTTCTCCACGGGGCTCGGTGCCGTCGGGGGCCGAGAAGCGCTCCGATTGCAAATCGCAACTTAAAAACCCGTCGAATTTTCGCGATTTTTCAGAAAGCCGTAAAATGCTACGCGTGCCTTCTATTGTTCTGCAATTTTTTGATTTAGTGTTTTTCGATTATACTGAGCAATTTTCTAATATAAACCATACCCTTAAACACAATATTAAAAAAGTTAATTACGCAAAATAATTAACAATCTAATTATCCCGGACTTTAATAAATTCAAATAGGCCCCTGGCCCAGGATCAAAACGACACAAGCTGTTTTTTTGTTGTTTTTTTTTTGCGGCGAGCAGTTTTCGCAATATCGAATTTTTCTACTTTTCGTGAAACACCCTGTATGCGATTTCTGTTTGTCGTCGCCAGATTTAGTCACTCGGCACCTTAGCATGTCCCTGAAAGGGTTGTAAGTTGTAACTAACTGGTCGATTGATTGATTGATTGATTGATTGATTGATTGATTGATTGATTGATTGATTGATTGATTGATTGATTGATTGATTGATTGATTGATTGATTGCGCCAGCTAGGCGGCGCTGTGGGGATCCACTAGTGGTCACGTATGTGTGAAGGGGAGGGCCTTGTCTTCTATGAAATATTGGCAGAAAGCGATTCTTGGAACGGCCTACATAATGCGCCGCCAGGGCAGCGATGCCGGTATTTGAAGGTATAGATCGTCTCGAATTATTATTACTTGTGCCTTCGTAGCTGCAGGGGCTATAACTTGGCCGGGTGGCGACTGCTATTTCGGGGCTTTAAGTTGGACACTGGGTGACAAAATCGGCGAGATGTCTGTAACGCGCGTTCCGCCGTATTCGAAAATGGAAGACGCTTCAAAAGTACCCTTGGAAGAAATTCTAATGGTACTTTGGCATCCGCCATCCGACTACCATTATACTTGGAAGAAAAGGGGGAAAGGTGTGTATGTGTGGGGGGGTGGGGGGGACTTTTCGAAACATTTGTTTCGGCCGTGGTCAATAACAGAGTCTCGTGTTCCCCGCTTCTGCTTTGTGTGGGGTAACGTGCGAAACACTACCGCTTTCCGTTACTCTGGTTTCGAAGTGTATTAAACACGCTGGCGACGCAGCGCAAGAATTCGTCCAGTTCAAACTATTCGACCATTACATTTACATATTACACACGAATATCTGTGCAGGAGAGGCTGTGCGCTGCTTCGTCTGCAGCTGGTCGCCCAGGGACCAGGCCAACCGGTCGGATCACTGCACCCACGCCAACTTCGATCCGGAGAAGAACTTTGCCCATGACTGCGAACACGGCTGCGAGTTCTACTCGCAGAATGACCTCAACGGTAAGAAAAAGAGAGAGAGAGCAAACATGTATTGTGTGTAAGGTTTGCGCCCCGGTCCGGGCGGCCCGTGTAGCCCACGTCACTCCGACGGACTCCGCAAGGGGACCAGAGGGGTCAACGAGTGCTTGAAGAGTGCGATGGGTATACGCCGGTGCCCAGGGGAAAAGCCAGCTATTTCTCCCACAGAAGCGTGTACGGGACGAGTGGGTAAGGTACAGGACCTGTACGTGCGAGAAATTGAAGAATATCCTCCGTGACTTAAGGCCGGTGGGCTAAACCAACACCACCTAAAATAATCAAAGCCTGTGTTGTATAATTTTGACGTCATCACAGTGGGATCGAGCGAAGACGCTGATTGGGCACGAGTGCTGCGTCAGCGTTCGGTTGGGCCTCGTATCCAATCAACGTGATGAATGGAGCTCGGAACCTGAAGATGAGGATGCTTGAGGGTCTTGAATACCCTATGTGGCGTTGGCCAAACTCTGAGTTTCTGGTGGCTCGTGTGAGACGAAGGGAGAAGTCATAACCACGTTGCGAAAGTTTTCGGGTTACTTGTAAGCCTGTAGAGTAAATAGTTCCCGCATTGAAGATGCTCCATATTCAATCTCCCAAACAGGTGACTTCGAGCACGTCAGGCGAAACTGCGCGCCGTCGGATCCACCCCACAAGGGCTGCCTGAGCGAATCCAGTCGTGCCTGGACCACGGTGCGCTGCATCTGCAACTCTGACTACTGTAACGCGGCCTCCAAGCCCACGTCCATCTCGCTGGTGGTGCTCTGGACGACCCTGACCTTAACTCTGGCGGCTGTCATCCGTCCACATCTCCCGACCTGAGTCAGCACGTCTGCCGACCTGAGTCAGCACGTTGGCGACGCAATCGCCAGCCATGCTTACCGCTGATCGCACAGCAAACAAAGCGTTGTACTCAGCAGCGCCCGAGCTCACCGCGTCACACCGCAGCACCGTTCCAGGACGTGTCCCACCTGGACGCCATGCAAGAACTGTTCCCGCTATGTTTCTCGCCGCCGTCATTTTATCGTCAGTCCTTCTCTATCGTTGTTGTTGCTGTTAACGATGATGATGATGATGTCAAATAAGGGAGGGGGCCTCGGTTTTTTTTTAGGCTCGCCGCGATTGGACAAACAGTTGGCCAACTCTTTTCGCATATTAGACAAACGCATTTCTATAGCTACTGACAGTCATAGGCTTTAATGGTTGTGTTAACGGATCCCAAGTTCGTCACCGGTTTGCCAGACAGTAGCATCACAGTGGACTCAACTAGAAGTCTTCATCATGTATGTGCTAAAAGAATTGGCCTACGTTTCACCAAGTGGGGCTCTGTCGTTAGCCAAAAAGCCCATCGGTTGTCCGCGAACATGCTAGGAGCATTCGGTTGTTCATTTCAGACTGTGCGTTCTGCGTTCAGAGGCATTGGCGGGTTGGCCGCATAGTGACACTCTGTTTGCGTCTTGTAAACTGGACGCGAACAAATACACTTTGTTTGACTCGTGTTTGCGGACAAAAGTTGGTCAATCGTTGGCACAGTATGGGCGCGCTCTGTTTTTTATGTCATTTTTTATTGTTCTGTGGTTGTTTCGTGAACTTTCATGCTTATTTATATGTTTCCTTTAGTTCGTGTCTGCGTTGATGTCGTGGCGTTTAAATGACTCCTTGGAACCTCAACATGAAGCACAGGGAAGGCTGCGAACTTGCTTAAGAATTAGTAAGTTTTGTGCCTAAGCTCGAGCACAACATATTTCTTTAGCCTGACAGTACCTATTTGCAAGCATCAGTTTCAGTCAAAATAAGTGTTCTATGATAAACTACGAACTGAAATATGAGGTTGTTGAATTCAAGCCAATTAGTTGTCTCCAATCCTTTACTGCGTTCATTAGGCAAAATCGAAAGCACAGATCTTCGTTATTTTAACGCTTCTTAGCTTGTTAGCCTCACCATTCATCAACGTGTGCAATTGCATAGGTTAATGGGCATTTTCTATCATTGTATAGAATAGATGACCTTACACAGCAAGCTGTAACTGCGTCTGAACAGAAGGTCTCGAATCATAACCAGTCCTCGGGCTTACCACGGCCCGAAATAGTGCCTTGACGGCTGCAAAGATCCTCAGAGTTTACGCGGAGTCAAAGTCTAGCCCTACATCGAAGTTGGACCGTCTTGGATTTAAGGAGATGGCCGGAGAATATATGCTCGCCAATCCCCCCAACCGGGGGGGGAGGGGGGGGGGGAGGGCTTTCAAGCACGTTTTAAAGGAATAGCCTACAAAGAAGCGTGTTAGATAAGCCATGCACCTGTTGTCACCGATGATAATTTACTATACGAAAAGAAGTATACCATACCACTATACCTCGGACGCAGTGTAAAACTGAGCAACACATTTAGTTCTGAATACCTTCCACGGATATATGTTATATATCTAGCTTGCATACTTATTGGGATTAACAGCTGACTGTTCAAATCGTCATCTCACCCTGTGTGCCACAAACCCTTCGTTCTACTGCGGGGCCGCGAAACCCAATGGCATATTTAGGTAGGAATCAAATCAATGTTCCATTGAGACTTTATGGTTCTTAGATTGAAACGTTTAGCGGTCGGGAGCCGAAGAATACAGAGTCTATTTTTAAAAGCGACAAGAGAACAAACTGTTTTCCAAATGTTATATTTTGTCGAAGTTCGTTTTGTGAGATACGTGGGCAAGAAATATCTGAACTATCTTTCGGACAAAACGACTCTGTGCGGTGCCAAGCGAGCCATATATCACCTGAAAATTGAGTTCTCGATTGCGTAAAGACATTTTCAGTTTTTACTGTGTACTCTCTAAACGCCATCACCTATTGAGTAAATCCCATCGACGCGTCGTATTGTCGTCTTACTGTTTTAGAGGCAGGTTAGTCACAGTGACGCATTCAACAACACGTTTATCGCCTCTTAAATACTGCGAAAGTCAACACTGCCTTTAGCATATATTGATATTCCGAATTCCACCAGAAGCAACCAATGTACATAGAACCTTATGAGTTGTATATTGCGATATAAATACGAAATATTTAGGTGCACCTTAACAATGTTGTTCTTAGGCGACGCATGCAGCGTGTTCATTCAAAGTACTCAAGTTTCTTTAATCTTATGAGGTATACCTCCAGCGCTATAATAGAATCTACGTGCCACAGCCGGAAACAAAGCCAATCCACTCATCAACTCGTGATTTTGGTGTTAATTTAAAATTCGAGAGTGCGTAATCGCATTAGGGGGAAGAGTTTACAAAGCGCCAGGCATGACTTCATCGGCGTGATGAATGAAGGATTAAATACTGCTGAACCCTTTGAATTGCGCGGTTGCTAGCTCCACCTGTTTAGTGTGCAAGGTAGATATAGTACCCCTGGTGGCGTGACCCGAATATCTCCGCCATGCATGTAGGTGTACTTTAGATCCGTATTCGGATAAACTTGTGGAGTAAGTCCATAGGGCCAATTCCTGCAATCTGGCAAGCATTTATGCACATCACAACGCTGTGCGCCTTCCCAAAGGTCTAAGGCGTTCAAACAGGCCAATCAGGGCTACCGAATTACCCTATGGGCTTAGTCCACAAGCTTTTCCGAAGACGCGTCCGGGTTGTCTCCACCAGCCTCTGAAGAGGTATTTCTAATAAACCAATTTGTCTCGGAACAACCTTTCATCGATGCAATGACCGCGTTAGAATAAGTAGCGTAGTATGCGGCTAGCTCAGCGAGGAAGCAATCACTGGCGGGTGTGTAATTTGATACACGCAGTCGATAACTGTGGCGCCCCCACCTGGAATCTCCGGTTACCCACAATTTGAGTCCTCAGTTCCACGAATTGGGGCGGTTTAAAGGCCCGCATAATGCAGGCGCATCTCTAAAACAAATTTATTTAAAGCCTGTAGGTGTTCATTGTTCCTGAAAAGAGTGCTCCTGTAGCCTAATGTACATAGTGTCCTATACGTACCGGCGGTGTTTGTCTCGGCCGTTCACCCCACGCCAGTGTACAATAAAAAGCCCCGTATTTTACCTCGGCTGCCGCCGATCAAGACGTCTTGTGAGTTTTCTGGTTATTTTTATTATCACTGTGTTTGTGAGCTTACACCTGCGGACATTTACAATGCATAATGGCGTATATAAAATCTTAGCACCATTAGTTCGGACATCAGACAATCTGAAACAGTAGAACGTGTCGGTTAAACATTCTGAATATCGAGTTCAATGAACTATAATTAAAGTTCCGGGTTTTCAATATTTCATTTTGAAGCGGTTTTGTTAGCATCGTCTATACCATTACGATAATCACATCATTCATTCTAATGTGAAATGTAGTTCCCGAAATCAAGCCCAGAAAATGGATGAAAACATGGCGCAAAAAATGAACTGTAGAAGGGTGGTGAGAATTCAATTAACATGTGGTAGGACGTATGTGGGACAGAGAGAAAGACGTGTTAATTATAGGCCACGTGAACATAACCTGTCTATGATGTCAACGGTGGGCGGTCATCCGCCTCTGCAGTGCACTGTCGACATGTAATCCAAATCTGGCCAGCACCGCTATCATCGGTCGATATGAGGAAACACTTTCCAGAGAAATTTACGAGGCGCATATTATAGAAGGTTTGGGGGAGTGCTGCATGAGCCATCCTTCGTTTAAACTATCTGAAAAGGAAGCTTTGCTTTTAAACGCTTCGATGCTCTGAGGCTGTCACTAGAGTCACTCTATATGGCAGCGTAGCCATACAGTAATATACACAAGGTAAAGAGCGGACACTGCCATAGGCCCCAGCGGCCCAGATAGACCAGTGACAGGTAGCGCTCCTAGCGGGCGGTATTAAGCATAATCTGATTCCGTTTCCGGTCAAGTTAGTTTCGGTTTCGGTTTGGGCGTTCCTGCTCCGGTTCTCCGGTACCCCTCTCTCTTTCCTCCCCGCCTCGCTCGGCTCTGAGGACTCACGAAGCCGCTGTTATTTTTTTTTTTTTTTTTTTTTTTTAATACTGACGCACTTTTGCTTTATTTTTTTACGATAGAGTCCGTGCAAAATGTGTCAAACAATAGTTCAACTTACTTCACAAAGCAGAAGTATATATATTTCTTCTTTTTCTATTGTAAAGCATTGAAATTACACAATCGCCGCATTGACTCCTGACTGGTGCAGCATTTTGGGGTCAACAACAGTAAGTGGTTCGAACACATTTTATTGGACCACATTCATGTATACATGATTTACTTCAGAAACTCTGTATGTTTTATACTAAAGAGATCGATACTCACAAAAATAAATGAATATGAAGGACGTCAGCATATCGTACACTTCGTAATAAATTCTTAGCGGAACCAAGTTAACAAACCCTTTCAACGGAGAACATGCTGTATGATACATTCACTTTCACGCCGACTCGGGTACGAGAAGTAAGTGCAAAAATAAATAAGACATCGCTATAATTACCAGTCATAAAAGTATAATAACAGTGCGAAGCACACGCCGGATAGTACAAATTCCCCGATTTCCGGCAAATATAAAAAAACACCAATTTGCATAGCCTCAAACTCACTGCGGGCGAGCCATTACCAAACAATGAGAAATCTATTCGAAATCTGACAAGATTCAACGTCCCTAAACATTCCCCGAAATTGTTCAGAAAATAAATATGGCTTTAGAAAAAAGCGGCTAAAAAACTATGGACAGTAGATACAAAAGTGGATACATTTTCTTTCAAATATTTTTAGCCTCTATACACAATTTTCTGTCGAAATTTCGTAGAAAGTGGACAAATATTTTTGTTGAGGAGCCGTGATACACATTCGCTGGAAAAAGGGGAAACAAATGTTTGGAGAGCAAGCTGCACCGCCCACTTAATAAGCACTTTTTGTTTTTGGTTTGGCAACCGCCTCTGTTAATACACTATTAACAGTTAAACCTGTCTCGTTGCTTACTAGCCACTGAAGAGTGCAACCGAACTTTGTCCAAATTCCGGTTAAGAAATCAAGCATGTCAACACAAGCGTATTCTGCAAAACAATTTTAAAAACCTTTTGTGGTACTCCTCAGGGCAAAGGCTAAAACCACCCAGACCTCAAAGTGTGCTATACAAGGCGGCACACAGTCCTCGAAAATGTGTCACACTCTCTATTATGAAAAGAAAGTGATTTTCCAGTTGCTGAATGAAATGAAAGGCAGCCTGTGGTGGTACTACTAAGTTCCCGAAGAATTTTCCAGGCACGTGGTATGCTTTAGGAACAAGACAGTATTGGTGAGGCCTGGTCAAGTTATTAGACTCATCCGATAGCAGCTGAGAACAGCCATAGCTGTAAGTTGTCTGTTCAAGCAAAAGCTTGATCAAATAGCCCCAAACGTAATAAAAAAGTGGACGAGTCATCAATTATGTTAGACCTCATGTCTGATGGCAGCTCAGAAATATCCTCTAGTGGCGGGAAGTTATCAATTGGAAGACATTCCACAATGTCTGAAATTAAACTTTCATGGTGCGAAGATATTTGCAACTCCTTTAAAAGGTCAGCCTTGTCATCCTCTACGTTTTCATTGTCCGACAGTTTGAACAGTTTTTTTATCGAGAGGTGTTTTAGTCCTGAGGTGAACTGATGCACATTTGGGTTTGTGTTGCAGCCCAGCATTTGTCGTATATAGCTCCAAAAACGTTCTCAATGTGTCTTGCTGCAGGCGTCCTGTAAGTAAGTCATGGCTGCTTGAAAGCAGTAGTGTAAGTCATGGCTGCTTGAAAGCTCATCCCAGAGCAGGAGGACACTTTTTATAGTAACTTGCCACCCAATGATGCCTGATGGCTGCCTCCTACTTTGCAACTGCCATGCTGAAATCCATCCGAGTTACTGGTGTAGAAAATCAATTTCAGATTCTCCCTTCAAAATGGCATGACGCAACTTCTGCCCTGTCTTCTTGAATTTTTTAGCTATTTAGAGAATCAAAAAGTATGCACATCCTATCACAGAAATAGGCTGTAGCCATGGCTGCCTCAGGAAGCTCCTTGGCATAAACAAGGGAATGATATGATTGCAAGAAAGAGTGAGGCACTCAGTACCTGTGGGGCACAATTTTCTTCCATGTTACAAAAAGGTTCTTGAAAAAATGTGTCTCTCAGTAAGTTTCGGAGCCAATTGCAAGCTCATCTCATGAATAGAACAATAAAGTTCAACAATAGAAGACCACTCAATGACCTCATTTCCAATGCAAAGTTTGTGGGCTTGGAGATTGCTCTTGGTTTTTTTTTTTGGGAAGGTGCGGAACATCAAAGACAAAGTAAACGTGTTCGTTGTCAACTTCAAAAAATGGCTTATCGACACACACACCAAGCTTACGTTTGAAGCCCCCTAACCACAGACCACACACAGCCTTTACTGTGAAGCCAACAGTCTTAAGCTCCCGAATGAGAGAAATGAGGAGACTCTGTTAAACAGAAGACGTTGTTGGAGTGTGCACAACAGTGTATGCAAGGGGCTAAACGCACCTCCTGGAAATTTCAGACAGCATAACAACCAAGGCTCTATCCGCAATGTTAGAGGTTCGTTCAACACCGTCATCTGTAAACCCATGGACAATGTCGTGCGCAGGGTCGTTAGTTAAATTCTTTTTTCTTAAACAATCTCATCAAACAACATGCACACACGTTCAAGTGCAGCCAGACAGCCCGGCAGAAACAAGAGCGCGAGAAGCTCGAACCGATCGGCTCCACGAATACACGCCGAGCATGCGAGCACGTGGGCGGTCATGCGTCACCTTGATTGATGCAAAGTCGACCGAACATGATGCAGCAGAAAGCACAGATGGACGGCACGCACGGCACAGACGAACGACGCAGGGACGAGCAGAGGCCATGCAGAATGATGCAGAGGCAACGGCGTGCAGGCAGGCAGGCCATGGCAGGCGCCATTCATCACGTGGTTTTTGTGACGTATTTGATTTAAACTATTTAGTCGTTTTAAGTACTTTAAATAATTTTAAAGCATTGCCATTTAAAAAATAAACACTTTACACAGAAAGAGTTTTAATTAATTTTAACCAAATTGCAGAAAAGCGCCACGTAGCGGAGGGTATTAAACGCACTATCTGGGCCGCGAATCGGCTCCTGTGTCCTCTCTTTACGTTTACTATATTACTCTATGGCGTAGCTGCCAGAGTAGCGACACGACGCAAAATTATCTAGATACACGACGTCAGATGCGCTGATAGTGATCTCCATTTCGGGCCTGGAAGGTTACCATGGTAACCGTGCTTCTAGCGACGCCGGGCGGCAACCTTTGTAGCCTAGTTGATATCTCCATCTGTTCATTGAAAAGTGGACGCTTGGCATCGCGGTATGGCAAGAGCCTCTGGAGGAACGGTGCCTGTTTTTTCTGAAAAGTGAGACGATTTGCAGCCCGGGGACTGTCGGGCGACGAGAGCTGCTATGGCATCGTACGTGCACGGACAAGGCGAGTGGTTTTCGGCGCCGCCGGGATGGCGGCCGCTTTGTGGGACGAACGTACCGTCCTAGTATTTTCGGACTTCGCTCCGATGGAACAAAATCCAATTACGCCGGCCACGACAGGACGATTGGCCCGGGACATGACTGCTGCTCGACTGCCCCATAGTGAGCGAGTATATGTTTAGCATCATACTTCTTCAAGACCCGATCATCCCTTCAAGATGAGATTTTCTCACTGACTGGTGGGGAGCGACGTCGACGAGGCGTTTCAATAGGAGTTTAGCCTTTTTCTTATTTTACCTTTCCCTCAGGTAAGTTCGCCCTTTGCAAATTGTATAGAAAAAATTCACCACCTGCGGGAAACGCTGCACAAAATCTTACCGCGATAGGTTAAGAGACCGAATTTTGCGGTCGATTTAAAGAGCCTGGCCGCTATTTGAAACACCCGTAAGTTTCCTTCACTGATGTCCACTATAGGGGGCTGGATCGTGCATGGCTGCTCTCCGAGCCTGACGCAAGTGAAGCCACCGGAAGTTCGATGCTTGTCCCGGAAGTCGGGCGTGTGTTGGACTTCCTAGTGTTTTCAGTCGATAATTTGGTCCATGCTTTTTTG